GCTTAGGTGGAAGGATCACTTCAGGCCAAGAGTTCAAGTCTAGCCTGAGAAACATAGTGAGACCCTGTCTCTACAAAAAATAAAAAATGGCCAGGGTGTGGTGGCATGTACCTGTAGTCCCAGCTACTCAGGAGGCTAAGGTGGGAAGGTTCCTTGAGCCTAGGAAGTCAAGAAAATAGATCAAACTCACAAAGCATAATGTCGACTTCATATCTTCTCCTCTCCAGCCATCTGCTTCCTTAGTGTAAGATAATGATGAAGTTCACTGGGAACTTGAGGAATGGCCTGAATTTCTAATGTACTTAGTAGATACTCAAATATTTTCATAATAATGATGATGATGATGTATACATAATATGTAACTTGGGAGTTATAGTAACTTGGGAGTAGCAACTTGTAAGTAATTTGGGAGCGAGCAAAAAACGATGTTAGATTTAACTCCAAATTCTGACCTTAAGGCTTATTTATGCCAGCTAAATTTCATGGAGGTGATCTTGATCTTATTTGTTGTTAAATATCCCTTGCCTTTATGTCCAGAGTTGATAGTGCCTTACCTTCCTGTCTTCATTTCCTGCTCCTCACTCCTACCACATCCTCCTTTTTGCTAATAGTTTCCCACCCTGTGGTCCATCCTTTACTACTTTCCTACCAGTTAGTTCATGGCCTCTATCTCTACTTCGCCCTCCATCTCCATCTCTTCCAATAATGTTGCTCTAGGTCACTACATGGGACAGAAGTTCAGGCAGGTTGAGTGATAATATGAGGGCTGAACACAAAGGGGAATGATCAGGGAAGGAAGTCTCTGGAAGGAGGTGGATACATATTGAACAGTATGCTGAAAGTTCTGGCCCTGTCCTGCAGTCTCTACCCTGTATGCCATGACCATCAGAATCGTATTGGTTCCAAGGGCACTCCTTTGAGACCTACATACCATTTACTCCACCACACATTGGCAAACGTGTCACGGAATGAAAATGGGAAAGAATGACTACTTGTGATCTAACTCCTCAGACCTGCAGCCTCTCTTGGATTGACTCATTCTCTTCACTCCACACTCTTTTTTCCCATAACACCACTAATAATATACCAAGGCTGAAGAAGGGAAGAGGCTAAGTCAGCCAACAAGCGGTAATGTTAGGTGTTCATGGGAGGGCAGGGTGGTTTGTGGTAGGATATTTACATGATTGTGAAATACAAGAATGGTGGTGGGCGATAATATGATGTTGACTTGTAAGGTGAGTGCTGATCAGTCAGAGAATCACTGCTCTGTTGAAGCCAGCTGATGTTTAGGAAAGAATGGTAGCCAATATAGTTAAGGCTGGAGATAATTTTGCAAGCCAGACAGTGTTAAAATGGCAATTTACTAAAGGCTATTTATAGTTTGAGAACTGTCTTATGACCCTCTAGTTCTCCACTTTCTCATTTTTCAATTTTCTAAGTTGAAAATATTCAGGTTCCTCAGGGTTTCCTCAAGAAGATTCACCATTTCTGTCTGTGTGATTCTGATTACAACTTTGTATCTTAACTTAGCTGTTTCTGGAAAGCTCAGTCACAAAGCACAATTTCTACATGCCTCTCAAAATGTCTGATTTTAAGTTCAATGTTATCAAATTCTGAGCAGAGATGGAAATTTTAGGAAAGAACTTAAAAGGACTCTGTAACTTGATAACTAACGAACGAATGAGGAAAAATGTGATAACCACCAAGCAGGCTCTTAAAAGAAATGTATTTGGAAGAGCCATTATTAGTTATGATTCTTAGTCATCAAAAACAGAATAGAACCCAAACCACAGCAAAGGCTATTTTGTTCATAGAGCTAATATTAATTTCTCATCCTCCTCTATAAATTTCTATGGTTCTGTAAAAGACACACCCCTTAAATAAAGATACTAAAACATCCTTTGAGATAGTAGGTTTTATTTTATTTTATTTTTACTATAGAGAGATTGAGCCTCTAAGATCTGAACAAAGTGGTCGCAGTTGTATGAAAGGGAGGAAATTTCAAGGGAATGGAGAAATCTCCTAAGGATAAAGTCACTTTTCTAAGCAGCCGTTGTCTTCACCAATTACGGTGCTCAGCACTGAAAGGACTGTTAGTGTTTGGTTTAATTGAAACGTCTAGTCTTTTGCCGTCTGCCATTGGAAAATGATTGTGCATTGGAAGAGTCAAGGAAGGAGTATCATTCATCGTGAAGGGGCCCGTGAAAGAATTTGTCTCTTTAGGCGTGAAGAGTTAAATTTTAAAACAATGAGTCTTAGAAATGAAGTGACTGTTCTGGTTCCAAACGTTGTACAGCTCCAAAATTAGCCCAACGTGTTGAAGTAAATTAACTAGAAGCACCTTTTGTGAAAATGAACATAGTATTTAGTATTCATTTACTGTACAACTTCACTACATTTCAGTATTCATTTACTGTGCAACTTTCCATTGTACATTTCGGGATTCATTTACTGTTACAACTTCTCTAATTCCTATTAATGGAGGGGGTTGGTGGGAGATCATGGCCCACTCTAAAGAAAATTAGAGGAGGGATATTTGGGTTCTAATCCTGACTTCCCTGTGAAACTCACTATGCCATATTGGGAATATCACCATATCTTGTTTTCTCCACAGGTGAAATAGAGTTCAAATTAATTTTCTTTTCTTTTTTTCTTTTTTTTTTTTTTTTTTTAACAATTTTTGTCACAAGATAGGGTCTCACTCTGTCACCCAAGGTGGAGTTCAGTGGTATGATCATAGCTGTAACCTTGAACTCCTGGGCTCAAGCAATCCTCCTGCTTCAACCTCCTGAGTAGCTGGGACAACAGGCACTTGCCACCACATCCAGCTCAAATTAATTTTTTGTCTCCTTAAAAGTATACTGTAGGGATTAAGCGAGATGAGGAATGGAAAGCATTCTGAAATGTAAAAATACACGTTGACTTTGGCTTGGACTCAGACATTCCTTAAACGCTGATTAAATACACACCTACCAGCTGGGTGCGGTGGCTCACGCCTGTAATACTAGCACTTTGGGAGGCCGAGGTGGGCGGATCACGAGGTCAGGAGATCGAGAGCATCCTGGCTACCACAGTGAAACCCTGTTTCTACTAAAAATACCAAAAAAAAAAAAAAAAAAAAAAAAAAAAAAAGGCCGGGCTTGGTGGCGGGCACCTGTAGTCCCAGCTACTCAGGAGGCTGAGGCAAGAGAATGGCGTGAACCCAGGAGGCGGAGCTTGCAGTGAGCCGAGATGGCACCACTGCACTCCAGCCTGGATGACAGAGCGAGACTCCATCTCAAAACAAACAAACAAACAAAAAAACACCTACCTGCATCTAAATGCTGAAGCACTACTGAAGGCACCCTAAAATGGCTGAGGAGAGGGGAGAAGCTGGATCATCTCCAAATACAGAGTCTACCAATTACTAAAGAGTTGACTGTGGGCTGGGCACCATGGCTCATGGCCTGTAATCCCAGCACTTTAGGAGGCCGAGGCAGGGGGATCACAAGGTCAGGAGTTCGAGACCGGCCTGGCCAATGTGGTGAAACCCTGTCTCGACTAAAAGTACAAAAATTAGCCAGGTGTGGTGGCAGGCACCTGTAGTCCCAGCTATTTGGGAGGCTGAGGCAGGAGAATCACTTGAACCCAGGAGGCAGAGGTTGCAGTAAGCCAAGATCGTGCCATTGCACTCCAGCCTGGGTGACAGAGATGACGTCTCAAAAAAAAAAAAAAAGATGATTGTGAATCTATGCTCAACTGTGTGCAAATTGAATTGTTGCCACATTTATGTTCCCAACACACAGGAGCCAAATCTAAATGTCCCCATTTGTCGGGGCTGTTAGGTAATTTAGTGATACATTGCTTTAATCTATGGCTGTGAACAGAAGGTGAAAACATCTAACTTCTCTGAGACTCAGTTTTCTCCACACAAAGTGATGGAGAAAATGCCATAAGGGTCCTTCCTATCTCTAATCTCCCGAGTTCTGAAAACTGAAGGAAAAGGAGTTCAGAACTGATGGACTAACTAGTTCACGTCCCAGGCACCAGGCCAGACATTTTGCCTCTCTATTGTCTCCTCATAATGAAAATAACTTCAGTTCAGTTAAGGCCAATGCAGCCTTAATCTACTGCTGGTTTGTAAATCCGCCACTCGCCCCAACTCAAGAGCAGCTGATTCTATTTCTGTCTGACTTTCTGTGCCAAAACTCAACCCCCAGTTTGTTTGGTTTTAATAAATTTATTCTGTTGTTACGGACATTGTGTAAAATGGAAAAAAACAAGTCTAGACTGGTTTTAGTTCAGGAAGTTAGGGCAGGGTCTCTTTATTAAAAATAAACATCCTCCTGCTTGCTTCCTTTTCACTTTTTCTCACAAATCTGTTCCCAAAAGCCCTTGGAATCCGGGACTCCAACATGCAATGATTGCCCCAGATCTCTGTACTACACCTGACCCCTTTCTGAAATATTTGAAGCCGAGAACACAGGAAGTTCTCAAAGGCAACGATACAGGTTGTATGTGACACAAAATTAATGACCTGATAACTACCCTGATAGGATCTTTTGGCTTCCTATAATAAAACTTGGCACAATCATCCCAGCAAATAAGACACATTTTCAGTCTGAATCTCCTTGTGTTTTGGCACTCCCTGCCTTTCTAATTAAACATGGCGGCCTGCAACACTTCCTGTCCCTTCCAAACAGGAAAAGTTCCCTTGTCCGCCTCGCAGGGTGTGTGATGGAGGTGTGGCTCGCTTCTTCATTGTCCCGCTGCTCAAACCACTAGGGGAGCGTGAAGACGGGCAGGCTGTGGGGGTCCGGCCCCATGGCAGTGTCTAGGAGTGAATGTTTACAGCTCCTGAAGCCCCGGTGAGTGTGTGTTACAGGGTACTCTTTTAGTTTAGCCATCCGTAGTCAGCTTGCGTTAGCTCAATTAGACCCTCTACCTTCTCGCAGACAGAGGGCTTTCTGCATCCTGGGTTCTTGCCTTGGTGTACCACAAGAATCAGATCACACTTAGGCTTGGAGAACGAGTGCAAGGTTTTACTGAATGGGAGTAGCTCTCAGAAGATGGGGGAGCCAGAAGGGAGATGGTTTTCCCCTGGAATCAGGCTGATCAGTGGCCTGGACTCTCCTCCAACCCTCGGAGCCAAATTTGTATCATTCTGCTTCTGCCAGTTGGTGACCTGCAGGTGTGCCAGTGCCAGTCAGTGCCTTCCTCTCGACGACCAGCTGCCTCTGGTCTGCCTGCTAGGGTCCTGGGCATTTTTTTATAGGCACAGGATGGGGGCGTGGCAGGCCAGGGTGATCTTGGGAAATGCAACAGTTGGGCAGGAAATGCCTGTCCTCACCTAGGTCTGTGGGCGTGGAGCCCTAGGAAGGGACCAGGCCCTCCTCTACCCAGCACTTCCATATCACCAATAGGGTATAACTTAATTCAGGGTTGAGTTTGTTTTCAGCCCTTGTCTGTTCGCCTTTGGGGTTTTCCTTTTTTTGGTGGGCCTGCCTCTTTCTTTTCTCCACAGGGGATTTTGTGAAGTGCCATTAAAATACAAAAGCTTCTGATTAGTGAAGGACACAAGTGGCCTGCAAGAAGAAATACATCAATAAATATTTATTGTTCTTCAGCAAACACTTGGAAGAGCATAATGTGGCAGTTAGGTGCAAAGGCTCTAGGATAGAGAACCTGAGTATTTACCAACCGTGTGAACCTTCACAAGTCTCATTTCTCTGTGCTCCAGTTTCTGCAATGTAAAGTGCGAATAGTAACAGAACTAACCTTATAGGCTTATTGTGAAGATTTAAATAAACAGCACAAGTTAAGCAGGTGGAAGGTGACTTGGCACAGAGCAAGCCTCCGTTATTACACTTGAGGAATATCCCAAAGCACTCTGAAGTCACATACGTCTTAAGCTTTCTGTGTTTTTTTCTGTTTCTGGTCTGTGCTAAGTCACTAGCTGTTCCTTCTACCTAGAATACACTCCCCACCTTCCCTTGCTGGCAGCCTCTCATCAGTCATCAAATAGGTCTCATGGAAACTCCCCATGCTCCTGGGCTCCTCTAACACATGGTGATACACCTGACTAATACAGAATTAATCACATCTTTTTACTACCAGTAATTTCTATATTTGTCTATTTTTAAAAAGCATATAACACATATTGGGAACTCAATATATAGTTTAAATATCTCTGGGGTACATCCAAACACTAGTTCCCCATAGCTTCTTTCTGCTACCCTGCTCATGCTAATCTGAAAATGTGTGAACACATGACAGTGACCAGCCAGAAAGCACAGAGCTGTCTGGGGCATGAAGAAGGTCTTTGAGCACAGAGCTGGGGGACAGCAAATGGGGACCTGAGCCTCAGGACCAGAAATGAGCAATTCAAGAGACTCCACAGAGTTTATCTTTTCAGTTTCAAAACTTAGTTTACTTACCTTCATGAATGAATTTGTCATAACCTATTGGTTTTCTCCCCTAAGAAAGTGTGTGTGTGTGTGTGTGTACGTGTGTGTGTGTGTGTACGTGTGTTTCCCTAGGAAGACCATACAACTTAGCCCCCTATGGGCCAATTAACGTTTTGGAATTTAGCTAGTTAACTAAAGAACCTTTGGGAATTGTAAGCTTAGGTTAAAACAAGGCATTTACTCATATAAGTAAACAATATGAGAAAATAAAAGTTTTTTATAAATGAATGTTTTAATAATGAATAAGAATACAATAATAAATAAGAAATGAATAAGGAACAGGACCAATAATTAAAAAGGCAAAAGAGAAGACAGATAAAAACAAAAGTAAAGAGAGAAACTAAAGCTTTTTTCCCTTGTGAAGTAACAAGGCACAAAATGTGGTTTCAATATCTCCCTCTCTCTCTGTATCTCTTCCCTCTCCTCTTACGGGCTCCTAGCTAGTGTGGCTCTGGGGATGATCACAGAAGCCCTAGGAGGTAAAGGACATAAACTATGTAACCAACAATTTAGACTAATCAAATCAACAAATATTTAAGGCAGTGTGGAGTCATGAAGAGAGCTCAGATCTGAGTTCCGATCATCACCCCAGCATGTATTGGTTCTACCCCTGAGCAGGTTAGCCTTTCCAAGCCTAAAATGGAGGTAACACCCATACCTGGAAAGATTTCTGTGAATACTAGAAATAGTATAGGTAATTAGGCATTTAATAAATAATAGATATTCTCATTTTATTAGCCTAACCAAGTATATAAAGCAATGCAAATAAAACACGGTTCCTAACTTCAACCAGATTCACAGGCAATAAACCTGTGATGCATTGCATTTAAAAATAGGACTAAAACACCTCAGGTAACTGTTTCCTGAAAATCCATTAGAAATTTTTCAAAAGCAAAAGAAGAGAAAGATTCTTTAAACTTTCTGTGGGGAGGGGGCAAAATGCTTAAGGCGTATAAAAGGTTGCAAAATTTGCCTCCTAAAACAAACATGCTATAATGACTTGGCATTTTGTTAGAAAATAGATTTTTACCCAAATATTTCTCAGGCTAATTAAATGCTGTATCAGTGGTCACATGTCCACAGAAAACAGAATTGATACTGGCAGGCAAAGGCAGGAAAAGGCATTCCAAAAGAATGGAGTGGTGTAACACAAAGGACCCGGGTGTCTGAAATGATCCTGAGCTTTTAATCGCATCCCCCACAGCTACCCAGCCCCACTGGAAGAAACTCCTGACACTCTTGTTTATTTGGAGCTACCTTTCGGACTTTTTTCCATTTTCTTATAACCTTGCACTAGGCCTAGAGGCCTATTGCTGATCTCAGCTCTCGACTTCCTGCCCCATTTCCCATCTACAGTCTCACACTCTAAGATCCAACATATAATATAGTTTCCCTGGTTCTATTCCTTGGTCCCCTTCCTTGATAACAATTTTAACTTACCTCTTGCATTGTATCTGTTTCTGCTCCCTCCAGAGGACTCAGCCTGATCCCTTGAGACTATTAGGACTAGAGTTCGTGTTGAATCCTTGGTCCCTAAAGAGAGAATGGAAAAAGACATGGAAAATACAAGATATTTGTCAATTAATTTGCCCGAAGCAGAGTATTTGGGAAGTTGAGTGGTTAAAAACATTGGCAACATTTTTTGCAAAATTACAGAGTTCTTTCCACATTGCCTCTCTCATAAAATGCTTCGTGTTTGCCAAATTATATTAGCTGAGAAGACCCATGGCCCACCAAAGGCACAGTGACAGCCTGAAGCTGTGGATCGGAGGTTATGTCAGGTCGCTGAACTGCCTGTGTAGCCAAAGTCAGCCTCCAGGGTGAGAAGGATTTTCTGTTGTCTGCTTAAAGAGGAGTACAAAAGTATTTATGGCTACAGTCATGTTTCTGACAACAAACCCAATTATAAGCCAACATTAAGGAAGTGATTTAGCAATACTTTTAGTGTGTCTTGGTCAAACAACAAATATGTATTGATCGCCTACTCTGTGCAAATCAACCGAATGGACTTATGTGGTTTAAACTCTATATATATCACTCAATTTTACTGATATTGTGCAATGCATTGTTTGGTCTTATTACCGTTACTCGTGAAAAAGTCAAAAAAGAATAAGCAAAGGGAAATAATGGTCATTTCCTCCTAAAGCCTCATTTCTTTCATCTATCCCTGAATACCAAACGGTTGGTTCTATGGTGGAAGATAGGTGGGACCCATTTAGGGAAAAGGGTATTGCCATTAATTTTGAAAAAATAAATCGAAGTGTTTTATTTGCATGGGATGATGACTCTCAAATTTGTATTTTCAACTAAGATTAAACACGGAACTCCTACTGCTTACTTTTTCTTTCTATCTAGATATCACAGAAACATCTCAACTCTATACTGGCTTATCTGTCTCCCTGCAAACTGTGAACTGCTCTAGATTAGCATCAATTGTGCAATCCAGAACAAAGTACCCATGCTTGACACCAGACCTTTACCCCTGCATTCGCTGGTTCACCACCACCTTCTAGAAAATTTCCATATCCCTCTTCTTTCTTCCTCTTACACTTCATCTTGGTTTAAGTCATGATCACTTCTTACCTGAGCTGCTGCAATTCCCGACCCCTAGCTGATCTCCCTACATTAACTCTTACCACTCTCTAATCTATTCTCCGCAGTGCTTCCAGATTCATTTATAAAAAACGCAATCTGTTTATGTCTCTCTTGTCCTTCTTAAAGTTCTGAATCATTTCCAATCACTTAAAGATCTGTTTAAAAAATCAGTTCTTTTGCATTTTTATATGGACCTGCCTAAATCTCCTGCCTCATCATGTGTCTTTTAATACTTTGAGCCTTGTTCCACCTTACAGCTTACATAATTACTGTTCCTTCAGCCTGTAAGACTCTCTCTTTCTTGTCTTACTTCCCCCTTTATCCATTCAACTCTCGTTTATACTTCAAATTGCAAATCAAACATGCTTTTTAAGAGTTTTTTTTCTAACTCCCTAGACTAAGTCTGGATCCTCTGTCATGTACTTTCCTAACTCTCTATACTTTTCCTTCATTAACTTTATCAAATTTCATAATTGCACATTTTTATGATGATCTCATTCCACAAAACTGTGTGTCCCACCAGGGTAGTCGATCTACCCATCTTGTTCATTAACACAGTACAGCACATGGATGAACATCTATTAGGGGTGGGTAGGGTAAGCTAATCCAGACAAATATCCTAATAATAAGTGAACTAAAGATTATGTGGAATCGGTGCAGACCCTCAAAGTAATTCCTCTGATGCTTCTGTTTTAGCATCTGCCACTACCTCATATAAAATTATTTACTTATTTTACTACTTTAGTGTTTGTCTCCTCTATCAAGCTGACTTCAGCTTTTTGAAACAGCATTAGAAGAAACCAGAAAATTGTGAAAAAGAAACTTCAAAGTATGAGGGAAACCAAGTTTCAAACTAAAATTGTATTTCTAACTAAACTATCATTTCAGAGGACAGACAAAATAAGTCTATTTTTAGACAATTATCGTGATTGCTTACCACTCACAAACCCCTGTTGATAGAAGCTTTACTTCAGAAAATTGTACAATGATAGAAAAAATTGAATGCAAAGAGATTGTAAGCATGCATGTAAATCAAAGCACATGATGACTGTATAAAGTATTAAGGATAATAGTGAGTAATTACAGCAGTGCTTTAATTGTCATTAAAACATTTAAACTTTCTTGTATTGCTCAAGGGGTATATAGAAGTATTGATTAATTTTTTATTGTGTTAAGAAAATATAGATGTTAATAATTCAAAGAAACTCTCTTAAAAAATTGATAAGCTGGGTGTGTTGACATTCACCTGTGATCCCAGATACTCAGGAGGCTGAGGGGAGGATCCCTTGAGGCCAGGAGTGCAAAGCTGCAGTGAGCTATGATCATATCATTGTACTCCAGCCTAGACAGCTGAGCAAAACTTTGTCTCCAAAACAAACAAAGAAATAAAAATTTAGCGATTCCTCAAGGATCTAGAACTAGAAATACCACTTGATCCAGCCATCCCATTACTGGGGATATACCCAAAGGATTGTAAGTCATGCTGCTATAAAGACACATGCACACGTATGTTTATTGCGGCACTATTCAAAATAGCATAGACTTGGAATCAACCCAAATGTCCATCAGTGACAGATTGGATTAAGAAAACGTGGCACATATATACCATGGAATACTATGCAGCCATAAAAAAGGATGAGTTCGTGTCCTTTGTAGGGACATGGATGCAGCTGGAAACCATCATTCTCACCAAACTATCACAAGAACAGAAAACCAAATACTGCATCTTCTCACTCATAGGTGGGAATTGAACAATGAGATCACTTGGACACAGGAAGGGGATCATCACACACCGGGTCCTATTGTAGGGGGGGAAGGGATAGCATTAGGAGATATACCTAATGTAAATAATGAGTTAATGGGTGCAGCACACCAACATGGCACACGTATACATATGTAACAAACCTACACGTTGTGCACATGTACCCTAGAACTTAAAGTATAATTAAAAAAAGAAATTAAAATGTAGATATTATATGTAAAATTTACAAATTAATAAAGGGATACAATTAAATAAAGAGGTCTTACATAAACCAATAGAGATATGAAATTACTTTTTAAAAAATACGCATTAAAGGCTTAGCAAATAAAAGCACAAAATAATATCTTAGAAATAAACCAAAATATTATAATGACAATAAATGTAAATTACCTTGATTTTAAAATTCTATTGATAAGCATTAACAAGACAGTTAAATAAGATATAAGGATTTATAAAAATATAAACAAAAGCGTTAGAAAATAACAGCAACCAAATACTTAGCTAAAGAAAATTGTTAAAGTGAAATTTAATTAATATAAGTTACTATAAACTTTAAGAGAGAAAGCACTGTTATAGACGAGACACATTGAATGACAACTGAAGGAAAAATTAACTGGGAGTCCATAAAAATTCTCAACTTATATGTAGTACCTAAAAGCATATCCTCAAAATATATAAAGCAACATTGGAAAAATTGAAGATTTGAAAAATCTATAATTAGGACTACACATTTTAATCATTAATGAGCTAATCAAGCACACAAAAATAATTTAAGAAACCAAGGAAGTTTTGAGTAACACAATTAATTAATAAGCTTGCTGAAATAAGCATTTATATACTTTTGCATCCAATAATTAAAGAATAAACTTTTATGCAAATACGAAAACTTTATAAAAATTCACCATGTATTAGGCCATAAAAAGCCTTGAAAACTATCAAAGAATAAATTTAATAATCATCACATTCTCTAACTAATATGCAATAATTCTAGGAATCAATATCAAAATAGTTTAAAATCCATGCATTTAGCAAGTTATAAACACTACTAAATAATTTGTAAGTCATAAAAGAAACAATATTTAATATATCTTTTAAATTTAAAGATTTCTCTTTTATATTAACTGTACCAGAGAATAGAAAAAAGAAGAAAGTCTTCACAACCGATATTATAAGGCTAGCATAATTTTTCTATCAAAATAGGCCAAGAATAGTATTATTAAAAAAATGTATTTCAAACCTTCCTGTATCTTGTATCTTAAATGTTTCTCTTAGACACCTCATATTAGACCTCCCCACCTAAATGGTGAGTTTGGCCCATTCACATGAATTAGAATTGCCACTATATTAGGACTACTTTCTGCAGTAAAATACTTTTTACATCATTGATGAAAGATTTTCCCATGTACTTATAATTATTTGTTTATAAGACTTTTTATCCCTCTATCAAGTATAATTTTCTTGAGGAAAGATATCAACTCTAACAGTATTTGGCATACAATAGACAGTTTGTGTTTGTAGAATAGAGCAAATGAATGAAATATTATGATTATGCTCAGAAATTCCCATCATGGATATGTTAACTTGTTTTTATAAATTCAGTTTAGCAAGTAATTATTAAGTGCTTACTATTTGCCAGGCAATGTAGCATGTGTTATATTGGAATACAATTATGAGTTGAACATAATCTTCACTCTTTAGATATCTATAATCTAATATAAACAATATATACACAAACACATAAAAATATGCACACAGAGAACTAGTCTAAGTCAAGTAAAGTCCAAGGCATGAAAGCCTCTAGTGTCCCTCTGGACAAAATCAGTTGACACCTCTAAGCCTCCATTTTCCCATAAGAACTTTATAAAAATAAATTATATTATTTATATCAAGGTAATACTTTAAACTATATTTTATAGTCATGTGCATGTGTGAATTTTTATTATAGATTTGCTCAGTTGTTTGCATACGTTTTATTACTGGTCCTCTTCAAAGATGCCTATATAAGTAATAGAAATTGCCTTCTTTTATGCATGTATTTTATTTTTTAAATATCCGTGCATGCTGTTAGTAATAATTTTTTGCCTTAAAATATCTTTTAGGCCCTAGATAGTTTAAAATAATATGCTATGGCCTATATAAATTTATTTAGAGAATCACTGAAGTGTTTTAATTTCTTTTTCTTTCTTGGTCTTTTCTTTCAGGACACTTGAAACACCTTAGTGTTGTTTAACTGCCATGTGTTTGAGCAATTAATTCTAATCTTACACCATATGGAAACCATTCCTACCAGTCAGCCTTGCCAGACCTATTCATGGCAGCTTATGCTGTTGCTATCTTTTTGTGCAACAGAAAGACACGCTGGCAAGATGAGCAGTGAGTCAGATATTTTACTTATCTTTAAACCTACACAGGAAAAATCCCAGCCAGATAAACTGTGTCTGGCCCTAGAAAGGGTGAGTCCAGCCACAAAGCATAATTTAGAGATCAAATGTAGGCACTGAGAAATCCAAACAAAATTGCCAGATTAGCTAAGGTCAAAACTGACCTCCAGTTGTTCCAGGAACATTTTGATTTTTGCACCATTGTCCATTTGATTTATTTCTGGCAACAAAACGCTAAGTGTTGAAGCGCTGCTGTTCTCAAGAGTCCGTGGCATAGAGATGAGCCAGTATTTGTATCGGAGTTCGTACTCCTTCCCGAGAACCACTGGCTTGGAAACACATATCCCCAGAAATCTTCTACTTCCCGCGCTGACCCTGTGAGAACCATCATATGGCATCGTCATCTGAGGATCAGAAGAAAGTACTGAAATGTATTCCAACAAATACAGCACAACTTCTCGGAAAAGGAAAAGTGATACAAAATCCTCTTCCTTTCAGCTATTTGGTAAATGTTCTGCAAACATGCAAAATTTGCAGAGAGCAGTCTTGGGATAGCTATACTCTTTTTCCCAAATTAACTTTTTGTTGATTACTTATAAAGAATACATACATACTTTTCTTTTTCCAACTAAAAATTGTGCTTTGTTTTAAGCAGTCTGGCATAGATAAGAGGCTTGTTTTGATGGATCAGAACAAAAAGTGGAGAAAACAAAGAAATAAAACACTACTTAATAAATATTAGCTATTCCTATTACTGTCATGAAAAAGTTATTAAATCAAGTAATTCTATCCCTTGGCAGTCTTTCAGATATTCTTGTTTTCTTTTCATCGAACTTCTAATATTCATAGCGCTCTCCTCGGGGTCGGCTTCTTTACACAATTTTATATGGCATGCATACGTCTACTCCTGCTAATCAATATGCGAAAATACAGATGCAAAGAAAAACATGTAAGGGGACACTTTATATCCACACACAGTAAGGGACTGTGTTTCTTATTTTACCCTTCCAGAGGAATTATTGCTATTCAAGTCGTTTCACTAAGATTTTTCTTTAAAAAGAGTGAATTTTTACAGGTATTTTGTCATAATTTAATTTTATGACATTATCTGGAAGCTTCTCAGGAATATTGCTATTTCATAAAAACGATAATCATTTAATTTAGCAGTTTGATTGCTGCAAAAGTCAAGGGTAAAAAATAATAGTGAAATAGCATTTTTCTTTTATTTGACATACAATGTAATGATTTAGCATTTCAAATTACAGCAATTTCCTATCTTCACAAAAGGCAGAGATGTTTCAGTTAAAGTTCTTAGACTGCTGTAGTGGGTTGTTAAGGGTAACTTCATTGAGCTTTTGTGGTGTTTAAACACCGCACTGGGTTTGTAGGATCAGCTCAGTTCAAGAAACATAAATAAGCACTTACTGTGTGCCAGATGATGTGTAAGAAATAAAGAATACAAAGATGAAAAAGATACAATCCCTGACATCCCTCCTGGAGCTTAACATTCTGCATTGAAATCCAGTAAGATCAAAGAAAAAGTATCATGACTAGTATGAGAAAACTGAGGCATCTAACTGAAAATGCAATTCGGCAAGAGAATTCAAGTCTTTCTAGAGATGACAGTTTCCTAGATAATGAGTCAGAATCTTTTGGGTAAATGAGTATGGGGTGAGGAAGAAGAGGAGACAGGTGATTGTACCATGAATAGCTGGGAGGAGTGTGTGCACAAGATGGGGCACAGAAATGCCTGTAATTCAAAAAACAAAGTATGTGCCAGTAAAGAAATAAAAGTGCTAAGGGAGGCCGGGCATGGTGGCTCATGCCTGTAATCCCAGTACTTTGAGAGGCCGAGGCGGGCAGATCATGTGAGGTCAGGACCAGCCTGACCAACATGGTGAAACCCCATCTCTACTAAAAACACAAAATTAGTCGGGCGTGGTGGCGCATGTCTGTAATCCCAGCTACTCAGGAGGCTGAGGCAGGAGAATCGCTTGAACCGGGGAGGTAGCGATTGCAGTGAGCCGAGATCGCGCCATTGCACTCCAGCCTGGGCAACAGAGCAAAACTCCGTCAAATAAAATTAAAAAAAAAAATGTGCTAAGGGATTTTTTGAAGGAAGGAGAAATAACACCTGGTTGAGAAGCTTATGTAAGACATCATGTAGCAGGTGGCATTTGAGCTAAGCCTTAAAAGATACCCAACGTTCCTATAGACAGAGACAGGGAGGCAGAAAAAGAGGATACCAGAAAATGAGCAAACGTGTGATAGCAAACACTGAAGGGTGTGGCAGGAACAAGTTGCTCAGTTTGGCTAGAGGATGGGTTACATGAAGGGAAATCGTGAAAGAAATGAATGGGAAAGACAACTGGGAAGTAACAATTAATGAGCACCTACTACATCACAGACACCTGCTGGGTATTTTACAAAGACTTCCTCATTAAATCTTTACAACAATTTACAAAAGAATTATCGCTCACATGTTACAGTGGAAAAAATGACTTATTCAGGGTCATGTAATTAGTTAGACACTGCAATAATAATAATCATAGCTACTTTCATGGAATGTTTACTACATGCCACCACTGGGCTAGCCAGGCTCTCACATGAATTATCTCGTTTAATCCTCATTACAACTCTGTAAGCTACTTTCCATTATTGTCCACATTTGATTAGATGAAGAAAATGAGGATTTGAGAAACAGCAGAGACCATTCAGTGACAAATGGAGTGGCATTCACACGTTCTTTTCCACTCTCTCATTATGGCACCAGAGAATTTAGGATGCTTGTGAATTTGAGAAGGATGTCAGCTTAATTCTGTAAGCAATGAGAAGTTGTTGTGTGTCTTCATAAAAGCTGACTAAGAGCCAGAGGCTAAGCTCAAAGAATGTGCCGTCTGGTAGAGGAGCAAGACAAACAAGCGTTCGTATCAGATTCTCATCCTTCCTAATCCCTCAGCCCAGCCCATATCCATTCCCCTGCCCTCCTATTGCCATACCAAAACAGAATAAGACCAAAAATTACATCTTGTTCCCTTCAGCTTATTGTCTCTTCCTTTTGATTCTATTCTTTTTCCCACTGGTTTATGGCTGACCAAAAGACAAAGAACCCCAATGAAACCTCCCTTTATCCTCTCAACAAAATAAAAATGTCTTTCAAAATTCCATAAATGGCATGAAAAAAATTAACATGGGATTATGAGAAAACAGAAAACACAGAGACTGATAGATTAGAAGAATTGGAGTCAGAGCAAGGCCCCTGAGATTCAGACGAACTCTGGTGACAGGACCGCTTAAACAAACGCCAGCAGGCGGGGCTGAAATAGATTTCCACAGTCAGCCCAGCCAACATTTCACTGCATTTTTTTCCATCAGGGAGAAATCAGATGTGGAAACAGTCTCTTATTGCACAGCCTGTTCACTTCTTAGCTTGATCAGGAAAGGCATTCCCTGTGCTGTTCTCTCTCTCATGTTAATCTGGACATTTTTCCTTTGTGTCCTCTCTAAATCCTTTTGTGAATTTCATTTCCATGGTTTGCTACGACTAGGCAAGGAGACAAAGGAGAGGAGTCGCCGAGTTGCTGATCCCTTCCACGAGGGGGACAGTTTTCTCTCACTGACCAAATCCTGGCTGAAAAGATTGACTTTCTTCTCCTAAGGACTTCAAAGTATATCAGCATCCAACTCGAATGAATGAAGTTATTTGACTACAACTGGGAAACAACAGCAGACATGGCCTTTTGGCAGGTAGTTATTTGAGTGCAGCTTTTAAAAGGCATCTTGCTAGTGGTTTGTTGGCTGAGGGGTGGACATCCAAACACCAATCGGCCCTAGAAACACTTGCAAAATTGCATTAAGAACAAAGCGTTCCTTCAAACGCTGAATTATATAATTTCTCTATCGGGTTTATTCATTTCAAGGATAAAATAATTTAGAAGCACAAAATTATACGGTCTATTCCAGCTCTTCTGTTTAAAAAGGCAAATGGCAAAAAAAAAAAAAAAAAAAAAAAAAGGCAAATGGCTCGCTCAACAGGGACGCAGCTATTGGGTGGCCGTATCAGAACTATGCTGAGCTTCAGCCAGTTCCACAGTTCCCACTGGACAAGGCCTTGCTGATTCAATCCCTCCCACATTTTGCATTCTCTCCTCTGCTCTGGTTTTCAGCAATCTATTCCCTTGATACTGGGGAAAAGTGGAAGTAACACTAGACCAGTGGAGTTGAACCCATGTTTTTGAAGTACGATTGTGTGTGTGTGTACTCCACGGCATTACATGTATGTAGGCCATTAAGCTAGGAGCTCTGCAGGTATTGCCTTATTCAATTCATCTAACAGTCCTCTGAGTTAGAGTCCTCTAACATTTAGTGAGCACACCTACTATGTTGCAAACCCTTATAATCCCTACCTGTGTCACCGAGGCTCAGGAGCTTAAACAACATATCAAATGCCACACGCAGAATAAGCAGCAGAGGCCAGGCACAGTGGCTCACGTCTGTAATCCCAGCACTTTGGGAGACCAAGGCAGGCAGATCACTTGAGGCCAGGAGTTTGAGACCAGCCTGGCCAACATGGTGAAACCCCATCTCTACTAAAACAAAAAAAAATTAGCTGGGCATGGTGGCACATGCCTATAGTCCCAGCTACTCGGCAGGCTGAAGCAGGAGGATCACTTGAACCTGGGAGGTGGAGGTTGCAAGGAGTAGAGATTGTGCCACTGCACTCCAGCCTTGGCGACAGAGCAAGACTCCATCTCAAAAGAAAAAAAAAAAAAAAGAAAAGGCAACAGAGCTTGAAGTCAAATCCAGGCTTTCTTATCCTAAAAACTACATCCTTTGGCCAGCTTCTACAGAGCCTGTCTTTAGAGTCCTATCAAGATTATGTGATGATTATTTGTTAGAGTAGCTACCAAAAGTATGGAGAGAATACCTAGATGAAGGGAAGCTGGGGAATACTCACTCCCCTCCACCATCTGCTTTTTTGTTGTTGTTACTGTTTTTAGAGAACAACAGAACAGATGAACTGGGTGCAGGCTGGAATATGGAAGAAACATGGCAGATGTGACTCATACAGCTACCAGATATTCTTCTAGTTAATTTATTACCTAAACTTCAAGTCACCCTAAGTAAGATTTAAATTTCCATTTCAAGGAAGTACCCTTAGGTTAGACACGGGGTCCATTCAGATATGTACCTCTGACTAAAGGATTTCAAAGACAGCATATTTTCATTTCTCATGTCAGCATTAAAAGTTATCATCGACTCTTTCTAACTTCATTTGGTAACGAATGTTATGTTTACTTAACTTTTAAAAATTATTCTCTGTTGTTTAAAGCATTACTTCTAGCTTCCCTAAAACTACTTCTTATAACCCATACCAGTGCTATCAAGTTCTCGGGTACTGTGATTTGGTGAATT